CTTTTAGCTACAATGGAACAACTAATAGGTTTATTCCATGCTGAAAAGAGAAGGAAGAAAACGCAACGTTTTGGCCGTGGAGCCTTCTTCAGGTATGTAGAGCAAACAAGAGACTTTAGAGTTGCTGTTTCTTTGGATATGGCCACGCAGGTTTAATTTGATTGTGATGACTGGAACAATTTCAACTTTCTTTGCTTTAGAATTTTCCAGTTAATTCCTTTTAACTCCCCCCTTCAGTTAAGGATTTCCAATTGTCAGTTGAGTTAAACTGCTACAACCCTTGCCCAAGCACAGGAAGGAATTAGAATACACACACCTGAAGAAGGCTCCACAGCCGAAATGTTATTTCGTTATTAACGAAAAGATATTGTATTTATATTGTACAGGGAAGTGACACACAAATACTCCAAAGTTGTATGTCATATGCTGTAGAGACACACTAGGATGACAAGGATGACAGACAGACAGACAGGTAGCATAGTACCTGAGCACTTCATTGTAGATCTCCATTACACTGAGGGTAACAGTGTAGTTCCACATATCCTTCCTCTCCTGGATCTCACTAAAAAGGTGTTTTAGGGCTCGTTGGTTTATCCCTGGGTTTTCAACACTGCCCTGGAAAAAATAGCAGAAATCAAAAAGAACTTATAATTTGAAGAGGCTACGTTCTACAAATTGGCCACAACAATATATTAACTGTATATTCAAGATGCAAAATGTAATTTTGGATGTTCAAAACATTTTTTTCATGTTTCACAAGATGCTTTTTTCTGCAACTCAGCATTGAGAAAATATAATATTTGGGAGTTAAGTTTAACTCAAGAATTGTGAGGGGGAAACCTTTTTATAATTGTAGCCATTGTTTCTTAGAACTTTGTAAAATAATGACAATATAGTAGAGACCTTCCAAAATAATGAAAAGTATAATTAACTCATTCACAAGCACTATTTAAATTGTTTTGGCATGTTGCAACGTGCATTCTCAAAAGAATCTGTCTGTACTATGCTCACAAATGCTAGCTAATACACAACAAAAATGGAAGTTGATGTTCTGCTTCTTTCGGTACAGCTAACACTACCTCTCCTACTAATGCTGCTATTAATTATAGAAAAAAAACTAATTAAACATATTTTTAATAGGAATAATACTAGATTTTTAATAGGAATAGTGCCTGACATGACAAACTGTGTGTGCTTATTGTTGAAGGACAAATACAGCTGCCTTTTAAATAAGTATTGACCTACTATACCTTCTGACTTATCACTGCAAGAATGCTTAAAACAGTAGTTTATCCAATCTGGCACTTACGTCTCTGTACACTCAGCAGCTATTATAATTTACATTGCCTGCATTTGAAGTACTATTGTGCAAATTGAGTTTGATTATAGATGCTGATATCAGTGGTAATAAGAATGAGTTACAGTACATTTCTTTTTGGAAATATACAAATTATCCTGCTGTACAGTTCCTTGCTGCCGCACTCACAGTGGTAACAATAGTCCAGACAGCACTGCAGAGCAATAAAAATTTCCTGTTTCTTTCTGCTGCAGTGCCTTAATTTGATCAGCACCGGTTTCTGGTATTCATTGCTTCAGGAACCAGATCACCTTATATAATTAACAACTTAATACAGATCCCTTACTTTAAGTAAAATTACTATTTTACTAGTGATATCCACAATAACCAATACACAATATAACATGACCTAGATCTGTGAGTGTAATAATGCATTTGATAATTACTGTGAACAGCCTTATAATGTATTCTACCAGATTTCTTAGTCAGTAACAACAGATATTTTGTTGTGCAATGGATGAGGATATAAAGACCCAATTAAATTTTCCTGGCACAGTGCAATCTGACGCAGTGCAGTCCTGTTCTGCACCTACTGTAGACCCCACAAACCAACCAGTGAAATAATTCTTCAAGTCCCATTGTTTTGCATGTAGTGAGAAAACAAAATCTGCTTCACAGGTCGCATTTATCATTTGCACTCTGCAGTGTTAAGCAGAGTCCTCCCCCCCATCCCAAATCCGCACCAGAGGTCCAATGTGATTTATGTGAATGCAGGTAAATGCAGATCACCCAAACAACAGCAGGGAAGCCAGTATAAGCTGGCAATTTCACTAATTCTTCAGAGAATCATAGCTCAGAATGTAGCCAAGGATAATACCTCCATTGTGTAGGTTTTCCCAGAGCCAGTCTGCCCATAGGCAAAAATGCAAACATTGTAGCCATCGATGCAGGAAGTTACCAGAGGCTCAATCTCCTGAAACACCTATAAAAGAGCAACATCACAAATTCCATCGAATCCCTGCTCCAATACAATCTTTCCAAAGATAACACACTTATTTCATTTTTAAAATAAAATTAAGAAAAGAGGCCTGGGTAGGTAATTCACACCCAAAGACAACAAACTGGGAAATTTCATAAACCTCTCACATTATTAGGATACGATGTTAAACTCATGAATTTGGGTCTCTGGCAGTGTTCAATGTCAACATAAAAATGAAAGATGAGTTTGTTAAATAGCTTCTAATTGACTTAAACAAGATCCTCTTATGTGGTTAGAATAAACATGTATTGAATTTTTGGACATTTTAACACAAGTGTAATTAACACGATTGAAGATCATGGCTGAAATTGATTTACTTTGCTTGAAGGTTGTTTTGCATTCTCTGAATTTGGTGCCCCAGTTAAAATAGAGGAACCTATGGATTTGAAGGTACAGTATTTGAACCAAAACTGGAGTCTTCTGTCATGAATATCAAACATGGTCAAGTTCAGTGTCCAAATGGTTAAGAAAGCACAG